TTTGTCTAAAACATTTTTCTCTCAAACCTCGCAATTTCCAAATATTTGACTGTCAAATATAAAATGGGACACCCTGTATATGTATATATATATATATACATATATATACATATATATATAATTAAATTTATGTAGCTATTTTAAATGCATTATTTTCTTAGATTGAAATACATTTAAAAATATTGCAAAAGAGACGTTTATAACGGATAATTATTTCTTTCTTCTAAAATTCATATTACTTTGATATATATTGTGAAATTGATTTCTTTAGACAAAAGACACATGGATCAATTTTTGCTTGCCTGATCAATTCTGTGGTTTATTTTTATTGCTTGTGTATTATATTTGAAAACAAGCAGTCATTACAAAGTGATATAAGGTCTATGTATGATTTAAAATTAATTTAGATATTAAAATTAAAATCGATTAATTATGATTAATTCTTGCCAATGTACTAATTCTTGTAAAATATCATGCATTATGTTTGTCATTACAACATAACATTGATTACTTTAAAATTCATATTTAAATTTGATTTAATTCTTTTATTGAAAAGTACAGTAATATGAAAAGTGACTTCATTGTCCAAAAGTGAGGCAGTAAAGATTCCGGAACGTCCATTCGGAAATGGAAGAAAAACACGACACGTTAGAAAAAAAAAGCGAGAAGGAAAGACATCGAGGAGAACAAAAGATCCAGGTCAGGGGTGGTGGCCGTTGCAAGCGACGGTGAGGCGCGGCGGTGAGGCGGCGAGGTGAGACGAAGCGAGACGAGCTAGGTACGACGGTGGCGACGACGGTCGCGTGCTGGTCGCGTGCCGGAGGCGGAGCCAAGCTCCACCGCTCCGCGTGCCACCCCCAACTCTACAACCTGCGATCCTTTGCCCCGCCACTACACCCTCTGGTGCGCTCCCTCGTCGGTTATTGATTCCCCTGGGTAGAGCTACCCCCATGGGGTGCTAAAGTGGAATGAGTAGGACGCGGTGGCTAGAGATGAAGTGGCACACTCCGGGAAGGGTACGGAAACAACGGGATGTCTTGAAATTGCAACAACTAGTCGTGGTGATTACTTTTTTGAGTACCTTTTCTTTCTCTTTTTCTTCCTTCTCCTTTTCTCTTTTCTTCCTTTATGATGGAAATACAAATGTTGTACGTTTTATGTACAATAAAGACAAAATGATACTAAATTTTAATTTTTGCAGTTTCAAATTAGTTATTAAAGTTCTATTTCTGTTATTCTCACCTCACATCTATTATTCTGTCTGTTAGCAATTTATTCATTCTTATCTTATATTGTATTACGAAAAGAAGTTTCTTCATCTGCAAACGTAATTAACGATTTCAAAGCAGTAAACGTGGAGAATACGTAAAATTCTAAGTTAACTACAGAAAGAACCAGTTTAATAAATGTATTATTTATGATATAATATCGTTGTGCATTTTTGAAGTGACCTAGATTTTTCCAATTCTCTTCTGGCCTAGGGCCAATAACGATAAAAGTATAGCTATAGTATCTTCTGTATATATACAGAAATAGAGAAAAAAGAAAAAGCATGTTAAATCTTTAAATATTTCTTTAAGCGATGGAACACGTATTAATTCTAAGTCAACAATATTTAAAGCATTAATAT